TATATATATATATATATATATAAACATGTAGGCAAGCCACCAAGCATTGAATATATATATATAAACATGTAGGCAAGCCACCAAGCATTGAACTAGAATATGTTTGGATATATTCATTGTATTGTTTACTCATAACACTTTGATTTTGATGTGATTCTTCCATCATCCACTTTTTCTCCTTCATTAACTTTACGTATTTGCTTTTAGGGGTGTTTTGGGCAGTTGATATTAAAGAATCATTTAAAGAATTCACGATGAAACATTATGGACCATCCAAAGTTATTGATGCCATTGTTATTTAGGTAAAAGCATTGATATTTTGAGACGCCAAGTGGTTACATGACCACCACATGATGGATTTGTAGCAGAATTGTACTTGTGGTACATTAGAAAGGAAAGAGAGAGATCTTTGCTTGTTTGGACTTTCTTAAAAACGTGTATAAGTCATTGCATGACATTTGATGCACGAGAGACCTATCCTTAGTATTAGAGAAAAGTTCTCATAATAAATATGAATCGAATTGTCTCAAATATCTTGAGCCTACCTTACATATTGTTTTAATTGCTAATAATTTGAATCATTGAAACGTTCTACAACTTTAAGTGGCACATAGAGAACCTGGGAATTATTCAATTATTTAGTTCAACATATCAAAACATACACAAGTATTCATGTTTCTACAAAATCAATAAAACTAATTATTGTACAATAACAACTAATGTTTTTTCCAACTATACCATCTCCCTCTCTCGATAGATATTATTATGTTGCATTCTTGAAACCTAACTTCTAAGTTCCAATACTCTCTATCTCTCTCTCTCTCTCTCTGACACACACACTTACACTTTTGAGTCTATTCAGACTTTCAAGTCATTTATCTAATTTTAATATTATTCAATAATTAAATACTTTCTCATTTGTCATCGCAAATTATTGAGTTTCAATTCAAATTGTGCACCACTTTGTTGAATGTAAATAATTTTAGTTGGAATTGGTCTCCATCGATACTTATGATGACGTTTGAACATCAAAAAATAATAAGCAGTTATTTCATTAAATAATTTTATACTTAGGTGGGGGTCATGGGCTTTTGGCCTAAAATGTTGTCTTTTTGTTATCTTTAAACAACTTTATATGCATGACGATGGTCTCTGCTTGCTGTCTTTGTCACAACTCTTAAGATAATGTTAAAGAGGTAATAAACCTTCTAGATTAAATTCCGAAGCCCTCTGGCGTCACCCACCTCACAAAAATTTAAAGTCGAGTCTATAGTTCTTTGACCTTTTGTTACAATCATGTAATTTAGCTTAACGTATAAAATAGGTCTTTAAAATTACAATCCTTTTTCAAAAAACATTAAGAATTCATTCGATATGACTTATGCTTCTAAAAAGTCACCTTAATTTTTATTTCAAAAATATTTTCTAAAGAGTTTACTATTTCAAAAACACTTCTAGAGAAAATCGTATTAGGTGAGTTTCATTTAAAAGCTCTTCTAATTAGAAGAAGCATTTTCATAAAAATAATCAAATGAATTATAAAAACTATTTTTGAATCTCAAAAACTCATTTTGACTTCTCAAAAGTCCTATGAAATGGGCCATAATTCACTAAACACCTTCCGTAGGAATAAACAACAAATCAAATGACTTCTCAAAAAGTCATATCAAACGGACCCTAATTCATTAAACACCTTCTGTAATGATAAACAACGAATCATCTCT